CCGGGCCGGCCCTGGGGAGCCTTTTTTAAAATCCCTGTTCCCATGCCTTGTTTCCATGAAGGGACTAATTCAGTAAGATGAAGAGGGAACTGAAAACTGATAAGATGGTGGGTGAGGCTGAAGTTTGTCACGGCAGGTCCTGTGCAAGCTCTTCAGTAGCAGGATCTGCTCGATCTCCACAACAGCCCTGTGAGGAGGGAGCTCATATTACCTCTTTTCCAGATGGGTAGTCTTAGGCTCCGAGAGGGTCAGGCATGTGCCCAGTGTCACACACCCAGTGGACAGAGAGCAGGGGTTCAAACCCAGGCAGCCCCACCCCAGATCCTGAACCTGGCACCTCAGTTGGGAATGTGGGTGGTTAGTACATCTCTTCTGGATTCTCTTCTTTATTTTAAAAATTTCCACATTTAAAAAACAAAAACAGGCTGGCCAGGTAGCTCAGTTGGTTGGAACGTAGTAGTGTCAATAACACCAATGTCAAGGGTTTGGATTCCCGTACTGGCCAGCCACCGTCCCCCAGCAAGCAAAACAATTTAAGCTCCCAAAGAGCGGTAATTTGACTGCTTTTCTAGAACTAGTGGTTCCCAGACTTTCAGATTTTATGGACCAGGAAAATTTGAAAAGTATTTGACAGCCAGCTTAGGGTAGCCAACTTCTTATTTTGCCAAGTTAAAGAGACTTAAAATGAAAAAGCTACCATATGTTACCACCATCATTTGTAACCCCAAGACAAAGTAAAAATGTGTTCTTAGAACCCCAGCTGTTGCCAAGAAGGGCAGTCAGCATTATGCATCAGGATGTGTACTCATGTGGATTCCTTTGTACTTGGCTTTCTCACTTTGCCAGAGATTGGCATTTGGGAACCACTTCTCCGAGCATGTCCATGCTGGAAAATAACCAATTCTACCTCTACTAGAACTGTTTAACTTTTTCTTCTGGGATTTTTGGGTTTTTTTTTTTTTTTTTTTTTTTTTTTGGGGGCTGGCCAGTAAGGGGATCCAAACCTTTGACCTTGGTGTTATCAGCACCACCCTCTAGTAGAACTGTTTTAGAATGTCCAGTTTGTTTTGCCTGTTTGTACCCTTCCTCACTCCATCAAAGATCTAAGTAGCTCACAAAAATACATTACTTTTTTTCAATTTTATATTCTAATTTTTTATATCCCAGGCCCTGTGCATACACTGGCCACCACAGAGCAAGCCAGCCTTGCTTGCCAGCCCCTGCCCTTGAGGCACTGAACCATGAAGCAGTGAGGGTGTTGGAGACAGGTCCCATGATAGTGCATGATGTGGGGCCTTCTGAGGAGGGGCACTGGAGTTGAGGGTCCTCCACTTAGGTTTGAGGGAAAGAAAGACTAAGAATAAAGGCACAAACGAAGTAGCCAGAGAATTGCACAGTGGTTCAGAGTGGGCACACATTCCCAGAATTCCAGGCTCTGGGGTCCCAGCAGGAATCATGGAGAAGTTGGTCTGGGGAGCAGGGATAACCCCCAGGATGGAGCTCTCGAAGATCCAGATCCCATGTGCCTATAAGCTGGGGGCAGCCTGTCAGTGCTCTGAGGGCCCCTGCAGAGCCCCCATGGCTTCTGCGGACCCACAGCTCCTGGAGTGGATCCGGCGCACTATCCCCTGGCTGGAGGACCGCGTGCCCCAGAAGACCATCCAGGAGATGCAGCAGAAGCTGGAGGACTTCCGTGACTACCGGCGTGTCCACAAGCCACCCAAGGTGCAGGAGAAGTGCCAGCTGGAGATCAACTTCAACACACTGCAGACCAAGCTGCGCCTCAGCAACCGGCCCGCCTTCATGCCCTCTGAGGGCAAGATGGTCTCGGTGAGCGCTGGGCTCTGGGCCAAGGGCGGCCAGGGGGCGTGTGGGCTGCTGAATGCAAGAGCGGCTGTAGGGAGCAGAGGCAGGCTCGCTGTTTGGCTGGTTCAGTCTTTCTTAACCAGAACACACAGCCTTTGGGGTGAGGGGTACAGTTTACACTTTACCACACTCCCCACTGCTCACCCATTACTCCCATGTTTTATACACAGAGTTTTATAACCACCCCCAAACCACGGTTTGTGTGGAATTGTTTGAATTTGGACCCCCAGTCTGCCACGACTCCAGGTTCACCAAGTACTGAGGTCCTTTATCAGGGGAGGATATAATATGCCCCGGACAGTTACCTTCTGGCTTCCATAACCTCATCCATGACATACATTTATTCATTCATTCTTTCATACATTCATTCATTTAATCCAGAAGAATTGATTGCACCTGCCGTGTGCTGGGCCCCATCTAGGCACATATATGGCAAAGCAGGGGATAGATGTGACCCCAGCCCACTTCTGCTGACTTTCTATCAGCATCCCTCAGGGAGGCATCCCCCTGCTAGGTGTCCCCACTCTGCAGTGATAGCCTTGCCCTCTCTTGGCCCTACAGGACATCAACAATGGCTGGCAGCACCTGGAGCAGGCTGAGAAGGGCTATGAGGAGTGGCTGCTGAATGAGATCCGCAGGCTGGAGCGGCTCGACCACCTGGCTGAGAAGTTCCGGCAGAAAGCCTCCATCCATGAGGCCTGGACCGATGGTACGGTCCTCCCGGCTCCCTCCCTCCTTTTCTGTCTCTCAGACATCTGCACATGCACGTGCGCACACAGAGCCCCTCCCGCACCAGGTCTGTTTATCAGGCTCTCTTTCCTGCCCCTCGGGACATATAGGTCAGAAATGCTGCTTTGGGTTCATCCAGCCTCAGGCAGCGAGGAACAGTTATGGGCCAGGTCCTCCTACTGTCCAGTGTGCTCTTTCCTCAGAGATTACTTATAGGTGGGCCCCTTCCTGGGTCACAAAGTTCAGTCATCCAGGAACACAGCCAAGCCCCATCCAGTTCTTTAGGGAAGTGACCCTGTGCCTGTCCTCTCTGACATGTCTTCCCTGAGGACAGTTTCCCTCCTGATCCACGGCTGGTGTGGGAGGCATAGCTCTCTCATCCTGGCACCCTTTGTTCAGCCTGCCTTCCCTCTTCCACACCCTTTGTGACCATGGACTTCACACTGAAGAGCCTGTGCTGCTCGGTCAGTGTTCACCAGCACATTTGTTAAAGGTAGAGCCAGGGAGCCACCTCCTGGCTTTGGGGCCTGGCCTGCAGACAATACTCCAGGGCTGCCAGCCACCTACCCTGCCGGTGGGCCACCTTGGGGCTCCTTCCCACCTCCCACCCCAGCCCAGAGCCACCTTCCAAGGGGCATAGCACTCCCTGCAGATGACTTCTCCTAAAAGAGCAGTGTTGCCTCCCATTTCTCAGTAGCCCTGCAGCTGTCTGTCCCTTTGGCTCAGGGTGTAGAATTCCATCATGTCCCTGGCCCTTGGTCGGGACCTACACCAGGGTTGAGATTCCAGATCCCAGAGGCCTGAAAGCCTTCAGAAAAGTGCCAGTGCCTGGGATAGCTGGAAGAGCCATCCATTGGCTTCCCTCCCTCCTCATTCTGGCTGCCCCCTTCCACACCATCTCTTGGCCCTCCTGCCACGACTCTGACCAGCTGACTCAAGTTTCCTTGCGTCATTGCTCAGCGTAGTTTCTTGTCCTTCCCAATCCTGCAGCTCCTCATGAGAGCCTCACTGAGCCACTTTTGGGCAGACGGCCCCAACTCTGACCAGATGCTGAGACCCCTACCCAGAGGCACCCATGGGGAGCCCTCCCTGTTGCAGCCAGCATTTGAGCATGCAACTCTGCATGATCCCCAGACCTGTGCCCGCCTCGCCCTGTATCCCTGGCTGCAGCCCAGCTTCTGCCCTCCTCTCATTAGCTCAGCCCGGCTGTTCTCCAGCAGCAGCTGCCAGATCCAGAGCAGTACCCTAATCCCTTCTCTGCCAGGGGAAGAATGCGGAGGAGGAGAAAACGGAAGGTGAGGCAGGAAGAGTGAGGCTAGGGCACCTCCCTCATACCTTGTAGAAATGGTGCCTACGCAAGGAGGGGGGGTGTTGGCTGTGATGCCATCTTGCGGGAGGCTGGTGTTTAGTTCATTTGTTCATTCACTCAGCAAACATTTCTTGAGCCTCTTCCCTGTGCTTGGCCCTGGTATTATCCCAGGTAGGTGAGGTCCCTGCACAGGAGCTCTCAGGCCAGCAAATTTTTGCATTTCTCTTGTCAGTGGGCCTTTGGGCACATAAGTGGATTTTATAGCACTCCTGTCCCATGCTCAGACTGAAATGTCCCCTGCTGTCATTGTCCATGTGCTGCATCTCCATCCCTCCATGGAGGCTCTGGGTGTCGTCCCTGTGGATCTCCCTCGTGGGGGCCTGTCAGTCTGCGTTATCAGCTCTTCTGTCCCAGGCTGTGGGTGTGATGGCCCACCAGTGCTCCTTTCCTGGGAATGAACTCAGGGCTGGCCTTCACCTGACAGCATTTAGAAGTCAGCTCAGTCTTGGGCCAGGGCCAAACTGTCTCAACAGCCTCCGCACACGCCTGGCCCACCACTGCCTGGCTGGATGTCCACCTCACCTACAGGCACTTTGGCATCTATCCCTGCTCCTCACGTCAGCCCAGAGCCCCCAGGCAGACCTGCCCACACTCATTCCCAAGACCTCTGTCCTCAGAAACAAATTATGCAAAACTGGAGGACTGGCTGGCCACCTAGCCCATCTACACCCCTGGAATCCAGTTTGGCAACCTCTTCAGCCCTGGGTGCAGGTGGGCTCTGAGGGTCGGCCTGAGGCACCATCACTCTGTTCCCCACACCATCGCCATAGCCTGCAGGGGTGAGGGTCCATGGGACTTGGGTTCTCAGTGGGACTTGGGTTTCCTGGGGATAAAACCAGAAACCAGCGAGCCCCCTCGTCCCTTTTCCAGCTGCCCCTTGGACTCAATCCAAGGCAGCTGTGGCCACAGCCCACTCCTCCAGTTCCTCTTAGTGCACCCCTTGCCAGCTTCCTCACTGAGACTCTGCTGAGGCAGAGAGAGTGCTAACCTGCTATTTCTGGTTCCCACCGTGGGAGAAAGCAGTTTGGAGAAGGGAATTGCAAGCTAGCCTTTGTGGTTAAGCCTCCTGCCGCAGGCCTTGGGCGGTAGGGCAAATGGAGTCAGAGCCTCGCAGGCTGCCCACCTTTTGTGCGCCAGTTCTAGGACCGATCCTAGGGGGTGGCTGTAGTTGCTGGACACATGAGACTGGGAGTGACTGAGATGAGGATAGTACTGGCTCTGTGCTCACCATCCTCAAATGTCAAGTCACCGAAACTTGAGAACAGCGCCCAGAAACCTAGGTGCTAGTGTTGGCCCCACTTCACAGATAAAGGAACAGGCCCAGAGAGCTCCTAGTCCATTTGCCGAGCAGGCAGCTGCCTGTCAGATGCTCTGGGACAGAGCTGAGGGGGTCTCTGAGCTGCCACTGCAAAGGAAGCCCGAGGTAGCTTACCTGAAGCAGGCCCCTTTAGGAGCTGGTGGTCCTAGCCACCTTCCCAGGCTGGCATTTTCCCCTTAGTTCTCTGCAATACCTTAGCTTGCTTGCAGGACTTACTTTAATTTTTGTTCTGGGGTATATAATTAGCAGGCTCCAGGACTAATAACAGTCTTCCTCCCTTCCTTCAAAGGGCCTGGTGATGAGCCTTGCCCCAGTGCACACAGGAAGCCTTAGAACAGTATGGGGCATGTAGATGTGGGACAGAGCCACTACCCAGGGAAACCTAGCTCCAAAGAGCCAGGTGCAGGTACAGAGGTCAACTCCTGGAAGAACCTTTACTCCAGCACATCCCCTTCTTTGACCCTACTGGGGCATGAGCTGCAGCCCCACATGCTTCTCCAGCTCACAACCCTCCAAAAGTGGGTATCTAACTTTCTGGCTGTGGTACCACAGTTTGATTCCTGTCATCTGCTACCAATAAATGGCACTAAGTTTAGAACACATGGGTTGAGTTGAGATATCTGTCTGAGGCCCACCAACCCCAAAGTATCTTCCAGGTTTGTTTAGGACATAGTTGGGCTTGGAGATCCCTGGAGGACAAGAAGGAAGGTTCTGGAAGTTTCTAGCTTTCATGTCATCATCCTCAGCAAGGAAGGATTTGGAGTTCCCATCTCCCTGCTTCCCTGCCTCTGCTTGGACAGCCCCTCTCGACTCCAGCCCCATAGCCTCCGTGCTGTTGTCTAAGTGCTTCTCTGCCCGCACCCCAGGGAAGGAAGCCATGCTGAAGCACCGCGACTATGAGACGGCCACCTTGTCTGACATCAAAGCCCTCATCCGCAAGCACGAAGCCTTCGAGAGTGACCTGGCTGCACACCAAGACCGTGTGGAGCAGATTGCGGCTATTGCCCAGGAGCTCAAGTACGTGTGGGCTCATGGCGTCCTGTCACCTGCTCCCCTCCAACAGCCTTCCCAGAGCCATGGTAGCAGTATCCCAAAGCCCAGCCTGCCTCAAGGCCTGGAGTGGGGTCCCCCAGCCCTCCACCTTCACCTCCTTTCAGATACCAGGGAAGGGCCTTACAAGATAATGCCTTTTGCCCTTCCTGTCTCAACCCTGGATGAGAAACATAAGGGATCTAGATTCTCTAACAGAGGGGAGGTCTCTGGCCCCTTATCCTGATTCCTCAGGATTTAGGGGTCCCTGGGCTCCACCTCCCCTGTCTGCCACACCAAGTAGGGCCCCTGGCCCCTGATGGGCTGTGCCACCCAGCTTCTCCTGCTCCTAGCCACTCCCCGCTGAGGGAGCCAGGCTACACAGTGAGCCCATTGTTCTGCCTGGCCCCTTCCCTCTCTCCTGCTCAGAATACATTTATTGTAAGAGCGTCCAGGCAGCCGAGTTCTTTCCCTCCCTACCCCACCCTAGTCAGATAAACTTGTGTACACAATTAGTACACTGAGCCTCTGGAGCCAGAGAATGGGGGCCTTATACCACCAGCTCAGGGCCAGCAGCAGGGAGGGCCCAGGGAGTGGGAGGCCCAGGCCATTACTTCATGGAAAATCTGCAGGCCCTGGAGAGGTGGCAGGGCTCCCAAAATAGCTGTCTGCTCAAAAATAGGATCCTTGGCTGGAACTGCCCTTTCCATAGACCTCCCCACAGCCACAGTCATCCCCAAATTTCTACTTGCTCCTCCAAGACTGGGGCCCAGCTATGATGCCCAGTGGAGCCCCATACTAGGCAGGGCTGATTTCATCCCTGGCTCCCTCCTTTCCATTGCTCAAGTGCTTCGGGGGTTCCCCACTTGCTCACCCAGAGGCAGAAGTACTGGGGGGCCCACACAGTGCTGGCCACCACAGCATCCCTATCTGGCACAGTTGGGGCGCCCCTAGGGATCCTGCAGCCAGCATGTCCAGGCCAAGGAAAACAAATCGGGGGTTCCCCACTTGCTCACCCAGAGGCAGAAGTACTGGGGGGCCCACACAGTGCTGGCAACCACAGCATCCCTATCTGGCACAGTTGGGGCGCCCCTAGGGATCCTGCAGCCAGCATGTCCAGGCCAAGGAAAACAAAGCCACAGATGCAGCCACCCTTGGGATGTAGGGGGTGGTACATGGGCAGGCTCCCCAGTTGACTTGGGGAGCCCCTGGAAGCTGGTAGGAAACAGACTTGGAATAAATTCTAGGCCAGCCTACTTCTCAGGCACTGGGTAATAGCCATGTGAAACCCATTACCCTGAGCTGGGGAACTGGCGGTCCCTGAAGCAACTTTCTGGACAGCAGCCCCGGAGGAGAGAAGGGGAGGGCTGCTTGGGTGCTGTCCATTTGCCCAGGGATGAATCAGAAAGGGCCGCAGTTTGTCCAGGATGAGCTTGGTGGCAGCCCTGCCAAGTGCTGATGGATGGCGACAGCAAAAAGTCACAGAGCACTCAGTGCTCCATACGGACTGGCTCATTTAATCCCCCAGCAGCCCCGTGTTACAGAAGGGGACCCAGTGTACAGAGAGGCCAAGGTGCTTGCCCAAGGTCACACAGCTAGGGCATGTTGAGACAGGAATAGAACCCAGGCTGCCTGGCCCCACTGTGGAACAAGGTCCTAGCCCTTGCCTGCTCTGCTCTGGCCCCTGTATCCTACCTGCCCATCTGTGGCTGGCTCACCTGTTCCTCCCACAGAGTTGTTCCCTGCCCCTACCCCTCACCAGGCCCCAGAGTAGGACTCCCTGGGAGCCTGCTGCTGAGAGTGTCTGACCTGGGAGGGCAGGAGTCTTGGGGCTGCTGATAGAAGGGGGTGGAGGGACAGGGAGTATGGTTGGGGGGTGGAGTCCAGCAATGACTCTGTTGGCCCAGTGTTTCTCGGGCTATGGTCATTTAAATAATAATACCTATACCACTATTTATTTGCCTTTTCAAATCAACTTCTTTTCTAAAATACGAGGGGTTTTCAAAAAGTTCGTGGAAAGATTTATATTACCTTTTAATTCTGTTTTTTCACAAATTTTTTGAGCACCCTCATATATGATTGATTGCTTAGAATGAGATTGCAGGCTAGTTATATATATATATATATATTTTTTTTTTTTTTTTTAAAAGACCACTAATATAAAATAAAATTTTTAGTAAGTAACTATTGCTACTTTTAGGTAGGTGCGAAGGGCTGCTTAAGTACTTTACATGTATTGATTAACTGCATCCTCACAATAACCCCATTCTCATTTCACAGATGAGAAAACTGAAGTATCCAGAATAGGGAATGTACTTGGCCAGGGTCACACAAGTAAAAAATATTAGACCAAGAATCCAAACCTTGGGGATTTGGCTTCAGAGCCCATCCTTTTTTTTTTTACTCACAGAACCCTTTTAACCACTGCACTCTGCTAGACATTCTTTAAAAAAGCGCTGTAGGGCTGGCCCATGCCTCACTTGGGAGAGCGTGGTGCTGATAACACCAAGTCAAGGGTTAAGATCCCCTTACTGGTCATCTTTAAAAAAAAGAAAAAAGCACTGTAGATACCAGGCCTGGTTAAAGGGCCACACTCTAAGGACCCCCCCCCGCCCAAGTTAGCTTGCAGTGGGCAGAGTGGGTGATGAATTACTAAAAGAAAAAAGCACTGTAGATACCAGGCCTGGTTAAAGGGCCACACTCTAAGGACCCCCCCGCCCAAGTTAGCTTGCAGTGGGCAGAGTGGGTGATGAATTACTATGAGCAGGACACCTCTGCTCCTCTGTCACCCCCCCTCCCCCATTTCTGTGACCTAGGAGTGCCATGGGCCAGAGCAGGGGACGGTGGGGGGAGGTGATGATTTCTGATAATCCCTGAATGCTGACTGTCCCCTGATACCAGGGCCTGGGACCCATAGGACCCTGGGGGCAGATGGGTCCAGTATACCCCCTGCCTGTCCCTGCTGGGTCTCATTGCTGTGTGCCTGGCCCACAGTGAGCTGGATTACTATGACTCCCACAATGTCAACACCCGGTGTCAGAAGATCTGCGACCAGTGGGACACTCTCGGTTCCCTGACCCACAGTCGCAGGGAAGCCCTGGAGGTGAGGAGAGTTAATGCTACCCATGGATCCCTGTACCCTGCTGCCCTGGGGCTGGAGGGGTATATGAATGATTCCGGACCTGTGGGCTTCCCCTGGCCCCCCCAGAGGGACCTTCCCTGACCCCTCAGTGTCCCAGACACCTCCCTCTCCATCCCTCCTGCTCACTGACTGACCTGCATTCCCTCCTCTGTCCCTGTCCCTCTCCCCGCCCCCATACACCAGAAAACGGAGAAGCAGCTGGAAACCATTGATCAGCTGCACCTGGAGTACGCTAAGCGGGCTGCCCCCTTCAACAACTGGATGGAGAGTGCCATGGAGGACCTCCAGGACATGTTCATCGTCCACACCATCGAGGAGATCGAGGTCTGCTTTACACACACACACACACACACACCTATCCATATTCCCTTCAGAGGGCACCTCTGTGGGGCCAGGATGCCCCCTCATTCCCACTTCTCCCACCAGGGCCTGATCTCAGCCCATGACCAGTTCAAGTCGACCCTGCCCGATGCTGACAGGGAGCGAGAGGCCATCCTGGCCATCCACAAGGAGGCCCAGAGGATCGCCGAGAGCAACCACATCAAGTTGTCAGGCAGCAACCCCTACACCACCGTCACCCCCCAGATCATCAACTCCAAGTGGGAGAAGGTGGACCAGGGCCCATCAGGAGGGCTGGGGTGGGCCGGTCAGGCCCAGGGGCCACCACCCTGACTGCTCCTGTTGGGCGTTCCCTCTGCCAGGTGCAGCAGCTGGTGCCAAAGCGGGACCATGCCCTCCTGGAGGAGCAGAGCAAGCAGCAGTCCAATGAGCATCTCCGCCGCCAGTTCGCCAGCCAGGCCAATGTTGTGGGGCCCTGGATTCAGACCAAGATGGAGGTGAGGGTGCTAGGGCCCCCAGCTCTGCTGAGCCCAGGCAAACTCTGGGTAAAGTTGAGGAAGAGCCCTGGATGAGCCCCCTTGGTGAGGAGGTTGCCAGTGGTCCCTGGGACAGCAGAGTTAGAGGCCTTGTAGATCTGATCCCCACTCTCGCCAGCTGGGAACCCTAGTCACATCGCAGGCTTAGGAGGGTCAGCAAGATTACAGCTGCTCAGCTTATGATGAGGTTACCTCCCAAGAAACCCATTGTAAAGTCAAAAAAATCTTAAGTTGGACCATTGCAAGTGGAGACAGTGTGTGTACCGATGAAAAAGGCAGTGCCCCCCACAGAGAAACTTGGCTGAGGAGTTGAATGAGTATGGCTTCAAGCCTCTTCTCTGCCCTGGGCTAATGATCATGAGCCTCAGGCACAGTTTAACCCCTGATTCTCACTTCTCTCATCTCCAACATGGTGATGGAAACAGTTGCTTCATTCCCTCAACAGCCATCTTCTGTGTGCCGCTTTGTGCCGGCCCTGTTATGAGTGTTGCAGTGTAGCTGTGAGCAGAACAGTCCACGGTCACTGCATGCCTGCTAGGGACCCTCAGGACCCAGCTGCGGGAGGGTTTGCAGTGCTGCTAATAGCGACTCTGGCCACCACCCACCGAGCACTAGCCACATGCCAGGCACCAGGCTGACAGCCACAGCCTCATTTAAACTCAACAAGCTCTTGAGGGGGCCATAGATGCCAGGCAGGTCAGCCTGTATGTTCCGTGTCAGCTCCCCAACATGTGCAACTCTCAGGAGCCAAGGGCAAGGGATGCCCTGGCCAGGAGCCACAGGTTCTGAAGTCAGCCCAGTCTGGGTTGCCTTCCTTGATCCTCAGTTTTCATGTTTGCAGTCAGGGCCTGTCAAAATCCTAGGCCTCACAGAGAAGTCAAGGGTACAGTGAGATGAGGCGTGTGAAGCACGTGGCACAGATAGACTTCCCCTCGTGGCAGGACTGCAGGGGGATGGTCACGAGCAGCAGGCCTTCTAATTCAGAGGACCCATGCGTGGCAAAGGCCCCAGGGGGGCCACTGGCAGGGGGTGGGCCAGTAGCAGGAGAGGTCTGCTCAGGGTGGCTGGGGTGGTGGAGGGTGCACCAACGTCAACCCGCCTGCGGTACCCCCTTCCCTGTAGGAGATTGGGCGCATCTCCATCGAGATGAATGGGACCCTGGAGGACCAGCTGAGCCACCTGAAGCAGTACGAGCAGAGCATCGTGGACTACAAGCCCAACCTGGACCTGCTGGAGCAGCAGCACCAGCTCATCCAGGAGGCCCTCATCTTTGACAACAAGCACACCAACTACACCATGGAGGTGAGGCCCGGTTCCTGTGGCCGCCCAGGCCAAGCTCCACGTTCAGAATGAGTTTTGCCCAGGAGGAAAGAGATGTCTGCTGTGTTCTTGAGCTTCTTTTTTCCTACCCTGTTTTAAAATGATTGAAAAGACTAGACAAGAATGTTCACCCAGTTTTAAAAATCAGTTTCCGGGCCGGCCCGTGGCTCACTCGGGAGAGTGCGGTGCTGATAACACCAAGGCCCCGGGTTCGGATCCCATGTAGGGATGGCCGGTTCGCTCACTGGCTGAGCGTGGTGCTGACAACACCAAGTCAAGGGTTGAGATCCCTTTACCGGTCATCTTTCAAAAAAAAAAAAAAAAATATCAGTTTCCCTAGCTCCGCTTGTCCATCTCAGGACAAGCTTACCCAGGATCAGGGAGGGGCGACATTTGCCTCCACCTCCAATCCCCGTGGCCCCAACCCTGCTAGCATGTGCCGGTCAGTGCACCAGCTCACCAAGGGCTAACTGCGTACCAGGGATTCACGAGCTGGTCGCTGTCATACCGGTAACTTGAAATTGTCCATGGCGAGAGTATCTACACCATGCAAATCTTCAGATGTCACAAGCCAAAGTTAGTTTTTGTTCCCCCAAAGGGACAATTGTTAATCACTGACCAGTGTGTCTCTAAAAAGTTTCCACATGGATCATGACACATGTATCTTGGGTCCTTGCCCCCTGTGCTGTGTCTGTCACTGGGAGCTACACCACAGTTTCATAAACCCTGCTGGCTGGCAGAGGCAACAGGGAGACCACAGCCTGTGTCCTTGTATTCAGATGAGGTGTACAGGAGAACGTAGGGCTGGAGTAGCACTTGGGCAAGAGTCCCCAGGGCAGGCCTGACCCCCACAGCACCCCACTCAGCACAGCACCCTGCTGCCCCGCCTGCCCACCATCATGCCTGCCCTCCTCCCCAGCACATCCGCGTGGGCTGGGAGCAGCTGCTCACCACCATCGCCCGCACCATCAATGAGGTCGAGAACCAGATCCTCACGCGTGATGCCAAGGGCATCAGCCAAGAGCAGATGCAAGAGTTCCGGGCCTCCTTCAACCACTTCGACAAGGTGAGCAGCTCCCTCTGCCTCCTAGGTGTCTTCCCTCCCCTGTCACTGTCACCCATCTTGCCCTCCTCCGTCTTTGCCTCTGTTCGTTCATTCACATCCAGTTGCTCACCATCAGCCACGGCTCACAGGGTGGGCAGGGCCCCAGCCACTGACAGGAATGGGGTGCAGTGCCTTGACCCATGGTGTGGGCAGCTTCACACATGAGGAGAAGCAAGGAGCTGGGGGCTCCCAAGCCTCACCCTCCGAGGCTACATCCTCACCAACCCGCCCATGAGACCCTGAGAGAGATCAAGTCCCAGCACGCCCGGGATTTGAGACCTGGCCCCATGAATCTGGCCCACGCACACACACAGGGTTTTTAAAATTCAGATTTGGTCTGGCTGCCCCTTTAGATGGGCCCTGAGCACCCAAGTTGCCCCAGTCCCCAGCCCACCCTGCTGGGCCGATGTGTGACCTGCCTGGCCTCTGTGGGTAAGAATGTGCAGCCGCAGCCCCTCATGTCCCCAGCTGGTATACTGCAGTCCCCTCTTTCCCACCCCAAATCGTGAAGGCAAGGAGAGCTCCCCTCTCTCCCACGAGTCCCAGGACACAATCCTCAGTTCTGCACCACTCAGCTCCTCCCCTGCTCTGGGGCAGAGAAGGTGAGGGAGGCCTCTGCCTGCTACTGGGCCACCCAGGCAGAGGGCAGGATGAAAGGGGCTTGCACCTCCACCTGCTCCACTCATCCCCGGCCATGACCTTGTCCACCACATCGTCTCTAACAATGTGTTTCCCTCCCCCATGTGTTCCCCCGCTGCCCTCTGCATGTGGCCCTGGCCCCCTCCCACCTCTGCACTGGCCGGGTCTCCACACTACCCCTCCCTGGTCTCCACACCTGCCTCCGGATGGCCCTGGCAGGACCATGGTGGGGCGCTGGGGCCCGAGGAGTTCAAGGCCTGCCTCATCAGCCTGGGCTACGACGTGGAGAACGACCGGCAGGTACGCGCACCCTGGGCCCTAGTGGACCGTGGCATTAACTGCTCTTCTCTCTCTCTCTCCTTCTTTCTTTCTCCCCCTCCCTCTCACCATTCCACCCCTGCCATCGTGTGTGCCATTTCACTGGCTCTCTTACCGCCTCCTGCCCGTGCCTCTCTGGACACCTTCCCCCTTACCTGGTCTCTCGGGGCCTCCTCTTTCTCCCCTGCCACTGTCCTGTCTGCCCGCTGTGCACGTGGGGCGGCCCCTCTTGCCTACTCTGGGCCTGGCCTCCTCTGCTATGCCTGCGTCCTCGGAGCAGAAGCAGACAGGCAGCATGGACTCCGATGACTTCAGGGCTCTGCTTATCTCCACAGGATACAGCCTGGTATGCAGCCTCTGCCTCCCCCCGGCCGCAGGGCCGCTGCCTCCCCTTCCTCCTCCTCCTCCTCCTCCTCCCCCCATTCCACCTGCTGCTGCTGCCACCACTACTACTGCTGGTGGTACTACTGCTGCTGCAGCCACCA